TTGAAAAGAAAAAAAAAAAAAAAAAGCAGAATAACAGTAGAACGAAGAAACAACAACAAAAAAAGGAAAAAAAAAAAAATGAAACAATATTTTTCTCCTTGTTTTTCATAAATTACCAACTGATTTTGCTGTTGCTGTTGACGTTGATGTCGGAGTTAAAAAAACAAATCCATATTGGCTTCAATAAACACTTTGTCTCAAATATATATTTATATATATATATATATATAATGAAAAAAAAGCAAAAAATGTCAACAATAATTTTTGTTCAATTTTCACTATAAAAAAAATTCAGTTTAGCTTTAAAAATAGCAAAACTTTTTTTTTTTTTTTTTGAACAAAAATTATATTGTTTTATTTTTTGGCATAACATATTGATCATTGTTTACTGCTACTGATAAAATTGATCAGACTGATTAACGATATTCAGAATTGATGTTATGCATCAAATGGTTTCAACCAACCAAAGCTGTTATCTGTCTATTTTGTTCGTCTTTAAAATTTAGGATTTCTATGATGCGAACTACAAGATTTTTAATAGTTTAAAATAAAAGTAGCAAAATTATTTTAACAGCCCTACTTTATCAGCAATTTCTCTTCTTTAAAACATTCCTTTTAATCTGCTTGATTGACGTCATATTTTGATCATCTGAACATTTGACAGAAATCCAATGGACCAGCGCTGAACACCAAAGAGCGCCTATTTGGAGGCACAGATGATCGTCCCGTTACACCAAAAAAGAAGTTGACCAACACCTACAAATCGACAATTTTTGACTCTTCGACACCAAATTCACCAGCACGGACGCCAAAAAAGACGATTCCTGTCTTAGGTATGTTAAGTAAAGTGAAAAAAAAAAATTAATTTTTATTGTTTTTTCTTTTTATTTACGTATTACGCTTTATGAACAATTATCCAGTCGTTCATTGAAATACTGATTTAAACAGCTTCAGTGACAGACAGTTTTTCTGAGCTTAAAATATTTGTTACCTCAATCTTGAAGCTTAGTTAACTACAGATTTGAAATAACGGAAAGCGGAAACAAAAACAAAACCAGTTTTTGATCAGTTTAAGTTTTTACAGAAATTGAACTTTCGTGAAGGGTGTTGCAATTTTGATTGAAAATACTTACTGAAATTTGATTTTGATTGACATTGACTTTTCCACTTCTTGTTCAGGAAACTGTTTCATCTAAATTATTGGCAAAAACCTTAATTATTAGCAATTAAATATGTGAAAAAAAGCATTTACTGCTACTTCTTTTTCTTTTAGCTTACATTTCCTTGCTTTGTGCACTTCTCTTTTCTTTTCTTTTTTTTTTTTT